CAGCCTCCCCTCCCCTCGGTCCCTTCCCCAACCGTGGCATTTTTCTCCCTCCACCTACAGAAGCCTCTCGAAAGAAAGACACCTCGCTGTGAACTCGTTCACGTAATCTGCACGCACTTCTGGAAGGTACAGGAGGCAGGCACCTGGCACGATTCCCTTTCTGCAGACGAGGGCGTTGAAGTTTAGCAAGGGTAAGCTTCCCGTTCTGGACAAGAACCCGGCCCGACTCCGCCTGTCGTGTGATTTCCGTTCATTTAGGGGAGGCCAAGGCTGTCCAGGGCCCCCAGCCCTTTCCCACAATCCCCATCCTAAGCCCCAAGTCGCAGTTTCCTTTCTGCCTCCTGCCCCCAAATCTTCTCATTCCCCTATGGCTGAGTGAAGTGCGGCGAAATCCTCCCTCTGCAAATGTACACTGTAGATTAATTATCGTAACAATTTTACCAGCCAAACTCTGAGTGGAGACTCACTGGCAGTAAATTTACTCGGTTCCACACAACCATGCGGTGCAGTCATACCGTAGATTTAATTTCGACCATCGTTTAGGGTGGAGGCCGATAGAGTCGACGAGGGTCACCGGTGCTGTCACGTCGGGGAAGGCACTCAGGCGGCGGTCGCCCAGCGTTCGCTACCCCTCCTGGAAGAATTCACCCTGCGGCGAGACTTTGCCCGCCTCGCTCGAGTCACGTGGGAGGGAAGCGTAAACCTGGGCCGTTCTTTACTCCAGACACACGGGGGCGCAAGACCGCGGCGTCCGCAGTGAAGGCGGCGGAGCGACGCTCTTGCTCGCGGGACTGCGGCGTGCTCACGTTCTGAGGGCCTCGAGCCCCGACCCGGAAGCGCTGGCGTCACGTGGTGCGGCGTGGCCCGCTGCCTTGGAAACGCGGTGCGCGTGCTCCCGGCGGGAGCTGCGGTGCAGGGGTGGGGTCTCGCGGCGGGGGAAGGGGCTGCTCTGGGCTCCAGATGCTGTGCGCCGGGAGGCTGGGCGGGCTCGGAACCCGGGCAGCGCCTGTATGGCCCGGGCGAGCGGGCTCGAGGGTCCTCGGAGCCAGGATCCGCGCCCGAGGGGTCAGCACCAGCTGGTTCCCGGTGGGCGCCGCCTTCAATGTCAAGCCCCAGGGCCGCCGCCTGGACCTGTTCGGCGAGCGCCGGGTGAGCGGCGCGGGAGGGGGCTCCCCTCGTACCCCCCGCGTGGCCCAGCAGGGATCCGGGCCGCGTGTTTTGGGTCTGGGAGGAGCCGGGCAGCGAACCCGCTTTGTACAGTAGGGTGTCGTGTGCGCTCTCGGTGACCTTGCCCGTCACCTCCTCTTTGAGGGGCTGGTGTAAGGGGGGCGGGGCGGTCTTTAGGGGTCCTGCCCCCCAGAATGTGGGTCCTGGGACCTGGCTCGTGTGAGCCCTCGCTCCACGTGCACTTAAAATAGTTCATTTTGGCGGTGGCGGTAAATCCCGCCTGCCGGGTCCCGCCCTCGCCTCACACTGGGACCAACCCCAGCTGAAGTGCGCTTCTGCCCCAACCCAACCCTAGTGCCTTGGCGCCTCGCCCTACAGTTCACGGGCGGCGTCAAGTTTCCGTGTAATTACTAATGCCGGCGATGCTCGAAATGCCGGTTTAAATTTTTTCCAAAGCTTTGGGCTCTTCTTGTTATAAAACACAAAAACTGTTGAGAACCGTCTAATTTCCTATAATGCGATGGCGTTGATCACGTTGATTTCTTCCCCCGGGAAGTCACTGACTGAATTCTCTGGTTCCTGTTTATTGCTACGTCCACACACGCAGCAGGTGTCTGGCGTTACATAGGCAGTCAATATTTACCGAGTGCCTGAGTTAAAGGTGAAAGGAAGGCACGCTTGAAAGGGATTTACCCTTCTATTCCTGTTGTACTTTACATTTGTGGATTTTACCCTCCTCAGGTTGTTACTTTTATGTTTGCCTTTTAAATTTCTTCGTTATCTGTACCATTGCCTTTCTTAGAAGAGCCTAGGATACCATTAACAGTGAGCTTACTGATTTGAGTGTTTTCTTATTTGATCTCTGCCATTAGCTTTGACTGTTTTAAAAATATTTTTGTATGAAATTGGCCAGCTTCCATAGGGGTAAATACCAGAATAAGGTCTTAACATACTTGGTGAGAGGAGAACAACCACGTATAGGTATTGAGTAGAAAGATGAAAAAAGTGTTTGGTTTGGGGTGGATGAAACAAAACTAATTTTAGCTTTTTTTTTTTTTTTTTTTT